TGAGTATAATATATAATTATATAAAAACATAAGTAATATATATTTTTGTGACCTAGGTGATACTCATGTTTTGGTGTGGTCAGACATGATTGCAGAGTGATCTTGTTTTTGTCTTAATCATGGTCACAGAGTGACCTTGTCAGATGTCTCCTGGATATCAGGAGCTTCTTTTTCTCAATTCTCTAAATGATTCTAAAATTTTCTCATACTTCCTATATCATAATATTGTATAGTTATCTCAATAGTGTATGACATTTTGAGGTTAGGTAGTTTATATTTTGTTATTTACTGTGGTTATTGCTAGTAATGTTTTATAAACAAAACAACTTCTATCAGATGTTTCTATGAAAAAATATAATAGGATTTTAGATTTTTATTTCATTACATCTTAGGGCTCAAATTTTGAAAGGTTATATTATTCATTCTCTTGCTAAGTGAAACTTAGCAAACTTTTTAGACTTACAAATCTTTCCCTGGATTCCATAGGAATTGGTTTAATGATACATCATTTTCTCTAGTATGTAAAAAAGAGCTGATTTGAAGTTAAAATGCATAATAGTACAGTATTATGATGTTATATAAATTTTATTTTAACAAATATTTTTAAAGTTTACACTTAATTTTGACTTTTTCAATTTAGCAAGTCATTAGGCCATTTAATTTAGTATGTAAAGAAGCTCAATTTTTTTGTCAAATCAATTTTCAAATTTATTATATGTGATTTAATAATGAAACCTGTTTTTTATTTTAGCCATTCTGACAGGTGTAAAGTGATATCTTATTGTAGTTTTGATTTGCATTTCCCTGGTGATTAGTGATGTTGTGTACCTTATCATGTGTCTGTTGGCCATCTGTATGTCTTTTTTGGGAAAATGTCTATTTAGGTCCTCTGCCCATTTTTAATCAGATTATTGTGCTTTTTAATTTTTATTTAATTCTTTTTATTTTTTAGATTTTATTTATTTGAGAGAGAGAGAGCATGAGAGGAGGGAGGGTCAGAGGGAGAAGCAAACTCCCCCCTGAGCAGGGAGCCTGATGCGGGACTTGATCCTGGGACTCCAGGATCATGACCTGAGCTGAAGGCGGTCTCTTAACCAACTGAACCACCCAGGCACCCTATTTAATTCTTTTTTTATTTTATTATGTTAGTCACCATACAGTACATCATTAGTTTTTGATGTAGTGTTCCATGATTTATCATTTGCATATAGCACTAAATGCTCCATGCAATATGTGCCCTCCTTAATACCCATCACCAGGCTAACCCATCCCCCCAACACCCTCCCCTCTAAAACACTCAGTTTGTTTCTTGGAGTCCATAGTATCTCATGGGTTGTCTTCCCCTCCGATTTCTCCCCCTTCATTTTTCCCTTCCTGATCCTAATGTGCTCCATGCTATTCCTTATGTTCCACAAATAAGTGAAACCATATGACAATTGACTTTCTCTGCTTGACTTATTTCACTTAGCATAATCTCCTCCAGTTCCATCCATGTTGATATAAAAGTTGGGTATTCATCTTTCTGATGGCTGAGTAATATTCCTTTTTATATGGACTACATCTTCTTTATCCATTCATCTGTTGAAGGGCATCTCGGCTCTTTCCACAGTTTGGCTATTGTGGACATTGCTGCTATGAACATTGGGGTGCATATGGCCCTTCTTTTCACTACATCTGTGTCTTTGGGGTAAATACTCAGGAGTGCAATTGCTGGGTCATAGGGTAGCTCTATTTTTAATTTTCTGAAGCACCTCCACACTGTTTTCCAAAGTGGCTGTACCAACTTGCATTCCCACCAACAGTGTAGGAGGGTTCTCCTTTCTCCACAACCTCTCCAACATTTGTTGTTTCTTGCCTTGTCAATTTTTGCCATTCTAACTGGTGTAAGGTGGTATCTCAATGTGGTTTTGATTTGAATTTCCCTGATGGCTAATGATGATGAACACTTTTTCATGTGTCTGTTAGTATTTGTATGTCTTCTTCAGAGAAGTGCCTTTTCATGTCTTCTGCCCATTTTTTGATTTGATTGTTTTTTTGGGGTGTTGAGTTTGAGAAGTTCTTTATAGATCTTGGATATCAGCCCTTTGTCTGTAGTGTCATTTGCAAAAATCTTCTCCCATTCTGTGGGTTGCCACTTTGTTTTGTTGACTGTTTCCTTTGCTGTGCAGAAGCTTTTTATCCAACACTACATTAAAAGGATCATCCACCATGACAAAGTGAGATTTATCCCTGGGATGCAAGGGTGGTTCAACATTCGCAAATCAATCAATGTGATAGAACACATTAATAAGAGAAGAGAGAAGAACCATATGGTCCTCTCAATTGATGCAGAAAAAGCATTTGACAAAATACAGCATCCTTTCCTGATTAAAACTCTTCATAGTATAGGGATAGAGGGGACATTCCTCAATTTCATAAAATCCATTTATGAAAAACCCACAGCGAATATCATCCTCAATGGGGAAAAGTTGAGAGCTTTTCCCTCAAGATCAGGAACACGACAAGGATGCCCACTCTTGCCACTATTGTTCAACATAGTACTAGAAGTCTTAGCAACAGCAATCAGACAACAAAAAGAAATAAAAGGTATCCAAATTGGCAAAGAAGAAGTCAAACTCTCTCTCTTCACAGATGACGTGATGCTTTAAGTGGAAAACCCAAAAGACTCCACCCCCAAATTATTGTGCTTTTAAAAAAAAAGATTTTATTTGAGAGAGAGAGAGCATGTGCAGTGAGGAGGGGCAAAGGGAGAGGGAGAAGCAGACACCCCGCTGAGCAGGGAGCCTGATGTGGGGCTCAATCCCAAGACCCTAAGATCATGACCTGAGCCGAAGGCAGGCACTTAACCAACTGAGCCACCCAGGCACCCCTTATCAGGTTGTTTTTTGGTGTTGAGTTGTATAAGTTCTTTATATATTTTGGATATTAGCCCCTTATCAGATATATCTTTTGCAAATATCTTCTCCCATTCAGTAGGTTGCCATTGAAAATTAAAAATAGAAATACCATAGGGGCACCTGGGTAGCTCAGTTGGTTAAGCCACTGCCTTCGGCTCAGGTCATGATCCTGGAGTCCCGGAATTGAGTCCCGCATCGGGCTCCCTGCTCAGTGGGGAGCCTGCTTCTTCCTCTGGCCCTCCCCCCCTCATGCTCTCTCTCTCTATCTCATTCTCTCTCTCAAATAAATAAATAAAATCTTAAAAAAAAAGAAATACCATATGATTCAATAATTCCACCCCTGGATATTTACCCCCCCAAAAAACCCACAAAAACACTAATTCAAAAAAGATATATGCACCCCTATGTTTATTGCAATATTATTGACAATAGCCAAGATATGGAAGCAGCCTAAGTGTCCATCAATAGACAAAAGGATAAGGAAGATGTGGTGTATATACACAATGAAACATTATGCAGTCATAAAAAAGGAGACTGTTACATTTGTGACAACATGGATAGACCAGTAGGGTATTATGCTAAGTGAAATAAATCAGATTAGGAAAGACAAATATTATTTTCATATGTGGAATCTAAGAAAACCAAATGAATAAACAAAAAACAGAATCTATAAGTACAGAGAACAGTTGATGGTTGCCAGAGGGGAAAGGGGTAGGGAATGGGCAAAATGGGTAATGGGGAGTGGGAGATACAGGCTTCCAGTTATGGAATGAGTAAGTCCCAGGAATAAAAGGCACAGCATAGGGAATATAGTCAATGATACTATAATAAAGTTGTATGGTGACAGATGGTGGCTACACTTGTGGTGAGCATAGAATAACATAGAAGCTGAATCACTATGTTGTACACCCGAAACTAATATAGCATTCTAGATCAACTATACTCAAAAAATTTTTAGTTAAAAAATAATGATAAAAAATAATAAAAATAAAATCTTTAAATATGTTATAGCTTCAAAAGTATACATTGATTTCATGACCTGTTGAAATTTTTAAATTTCCTGTTAAAACTAGCTCATTTAGTTTTGTCATTTTTTTTGTGTTCTGTTATAAAATGTTGAGGTAAGTGATTAGGTCTCAGGATGCTGTATAGGAGTAGCTTATAACCACCACTCTATTTTCTATTTTTACCACTAGTGTTTTGGAATTATTGAAACATTTTTAGGCACAGTATAAGAATTTTCATCACAGAAATACTACTAAAGATGATTTTCAAGAAAATCATCTGAAGGCAAATTCATGGGCAATATTATTATTTGAATACTGGCCTCTTTTTATCCTTTCTGTTTTTTTAAACTAATGATAGAGTAAATTTAACAAAATATATTTCCAAATAGTAACTCAGAATTATATGATAATAAAAATCATCAGCATGGCTAGCAGTATTTCACTGAGTCTTGAATATGATCATCTATTAATCATTATCTGTTCTCAAATACTTCTATTTTAAAATGAAACCATGTATTTTGTTGTCTTATGTATTGATTTATAAATATCAACCATTTTTAATGATGTGAATCTCTAGAATACCTTGTGAACTTCTAAGGGTTCATAAATCACCAGTTTAAAATAGGGACATAAGTCAAAGAGAAAATAGGACTTGATATAAAGAAATTAGAAGCCAAATTTGTGGCTATACTTTTTAAGTGCATAGGACTGAACTGCATATACATTGGTTATTAAACTTATCCCATTTCATCCTTTATTTCATCTTCATTTTCTATCCCATTTTTCTTTTGTTCCAATTTTTCTTATTTATTTTTGTGTTCATATATATATATATATATGTGTACATGTTTCCTCAATTTCTCTTGGAAATTGGGAATAAGGACAATTTCATTGGTAAATATTTATTGAAGTAGAGTTTATTTGCCATTTTTTTAAATGTAGGAAATCTATATTCAGGTTCTGGAAAAATTGGCATTCTAAATAAAATTGTATTATGTGATATGATTTTAGTTTATTGTATTAACATTAAACTTTATTCAGAGAAAGTTAAAATTAATGTTAGAATTATAAAAATGATTATTCTAATGTTTTCCAGCTGCTGATAGGTTATGAAAATGGTACTGTAGTATTCTGGGACTTGAAATCTAAAAGAGCAGAACTAAGAGTTTATTATGATGAGGTAAGTGACTTCTACTGAAATATTTGAAAAGACTATTATTGAAAAGAGACTTTGTGCCTGTTTTCTACTTGTAAGCTTTGTATATTACCAATATTTTTATCATTGAGTAACTGGGTCTGACCTAGTGTCTCATACTGCGTGTTGGCATTTGCCCAAGTTCCAACTCTGGATCGTTCTCCTGAATGAGAATTCTGCCTTGATTGACTATTTTTGGGCCCTTTTTGGCATCTTAATATACGTCGATGCTTATTACTTATCCTTTTCCTTCCATTAGGTTACATGGTTATTATGTCTTGCCTCATTATCCTTAAGATCTCTAAAACATTATTCACACCTTTCTTAGAAAATTCTTTTTCTGTGGCAGAAAATGCCACAGATCAAGAGGTCAGGAGAAAGGTAAGGGTGAGAGATACAAGGAAATGGCAGAAATTTTAAGAGGTCAGTTTGAAAGGCCTTATCTCAGAATAAAGATTGGTTTTGTAAATAGTAATACTTAATAAGAAGGGTAAGATCTTAAAGTGAGTTTTATTGTACATAGTTGAGATTTGGTTAGGTTTTTACTTTAGTTGTTCAAAGGTTGATTCTAGGCCATTAAGGATATCCCCCTTCAGAAGAAGTTAATGTGAAGATAGCCTGGGGCAAAAAGTGAAAAAGGGTAATTACCTCCCCAAACTTTGGGAATAAAGTTGGTCATGTAAGCTCTAAATTCAATTTTAAAAATGGTGGAGTAGGGGGCGCCTGGGTGGCTCAGTTGGTTAAGCGACTGCCTTCGGCTGAGGTCATGATCCTGGAGTCCCGGGATCGAGTCCCGCATCGGGCTCCCTGCTCGGTGGGGAGTCTGCTTCTCCCTCTGACCCTCTCCCCTCTCGTGCTCTCTCTCTCTCTCTCTCTCTCAAATAAATAAATAAATAAAATTAAAAAAAATGGAGTAGGGAGAGATAGGAAGAAAATACAGTCAATAATCATTATCTGGTACACCTGCACTTATATGAGAAGAATGCAGAATTTAAGGCAACACTGATATAAATAGAAAGAAAAAATTTTTTAAAAACAACACATTTCTTTGTGTGCTACCTCCCATCCCCTCATAACAGTTGAATTTTTCAGTTTTGGTGCTTAAAGATATATGCCTTTGGGTATCTCATAGCTATACACACCCCCAATTCATTTCTTAATAGTTATGACAAACTAAGATTTTATGGTGTATATAAGATACTTCTCATAGTGACAAAGAGTTCAGGGGTAAAAGATATAGCAACTGGGTAATTTGGTCATGACTGGTGAAAAATACTGTCTGGCATGTCATGTCTTACAATTATGCTCTTTGTGATGAACTTCTAGGGCATCTTGAATCATAAGGAAAGAAGGTCCTGGGGAGCTAAGCTAGATTTTTCTTTTATTAAATATACAAAGTACAAAGATGATATTAGATTCCTCTCTGAAAACTAGTAGCTAGATAAGAGTACAAATATTATCTGAGTATTTAGCCAGTTGGAAATAGAGTAGGTCATCTAAAAAGGAAATCCAGAGGAAATGATAAATCAACTAGTTTTTTTAACCTAAAACACTGTAGAAGAAAGACTTCTAACCTTAAAAAGTGAGCAAAAATAATTTTGCAATGAAGTGTTTAAATAAGCATTAGCAATGTTTAAGTAAGTCGAGTACTACACTATACCTACTTTATACCTAGAAATAATTTTAAATATTGACTTATACATGTATATATGCATATAATCTCTTTACTTTGATGCATAATTATATATCCTATCATTTTAATTGAGATAGTTATATACATTATTTTACTGCCAAACTTTTAAAACTTTCCTTAGCACTTTACCCCTCATATTTAGAAATAATTCTTAATACTATTATGAAATGGTTTCTAATAAGTTATCAAAGATCTCTTGATTACTATAGTGACCCCTTCATAGTCTTAAGTTCCTCCTTAAATCTGTCTTTACATCAGCCCCTCCTTCCTAAAATGGTTTCTTGCCTTGTTTTTGTCTTTCTACCTCATTTTTCACCCTTCCTTTCTCTATCACTGATTCTTTCCTTACTTTCCTTTAAATTATAGATACTCTTCAGGATTTTATGTCTTCACCCTCTTCATTTCACCTCCAGTTTATATTTATATCTTCTCCCATCATTTCAAATATTTTTATTCTATAAAATTTAAAATCCTTGTATCTCTCACCCTTACCTTTCTCCTGACCTCTTGATCTGTGTATCTAAAAATCTGTTGCATAAGCCCAGATAAATATCTCATTGGCACTGAATTTACACTTAAAGACCTAAACCTTGTTCTGTGTTCTCTTTTCAGTTTTTAAATTTTGATTATTTATTCATTTGTAATCCTCAGAGTCATATTTGATCCTTTCTTCTCTATATATCATATGCTATCAGTTTTATTGTCTCTTAATTCTGTTTTTATATTGTCTCTCATTCATTTCTTCTCTTTTTTCATTCCCACATTCAATGTTCTAGTCTAGGTTGTTATGTTTTGCCTAAAAGACTATGGTAGCCTTTTTACTAATTGCTTTTCCTCTGATATCTTACCTTTTCAGTATATCTTTCACTAATAAGATTATCGTTTTAAGCCATAGGTCATGTAATTCTCCACCTCAGAACCTTTGAATGGCTCCCAATTATCAACAATACAAAGGCTTTATTACTTTACATGAGATTCAAGGCCCTGATGTTATTTTTCCCTTTAGTTTAATGCAGTGTATCCTTCTATACACTCCTCACACTTCAGACATATTACTATCTCCTAAACATATTATTTATTCCCTACCTTCAAGCCTTTGCTCCAGCTAATTCCTCACCATAAACTCACTTCTTTCCTCTTTTGCATATCAAAATCCTATTAACTTTTTAGCCACTGTAAAACTATTTCAACTACCAAAGTAGCCCCTTGAATAGCCATGGGTGAATTGAAAGTTTTGTTTTGTAAATACAAGATAATTTTCACAAATAACTACATGAATTTACATACTAGCTGTGAAAGTTTTATTTTTATTACATCAATATTTCTAAATAATCTCTCACAGAGAAAACTCTCAGAGTTTGATATGAGGATAGCCTTTAATTCCTTGACTAGATGCTGTTTTTCCTTTTTTCATATTGGTACCCAGCTTTTTAGGTTTCCTTTCTCTTTTTTGTTTTGGAGAACCTTGATCACAGACTCTGAGTTGACCAAACCAGCTAGTGTTTTATCTTCCATATTTTGTTTTCTATCTTTTAAAATTCTTCCTGAATTAGTTGTATTGTATTTGTCTGTTGTTGTTGTTGTTGTTGTTTTTAGTAAACCCTTAAAGTTGTTTTTTAAGAAAGGGGTAAGGTATAATGAAATTAAAAGAATTGGATTGTTATCCATTAAATCTATTCAAATACCAACTCTTCAGTAATACTCTGTTTTACACTCTCTAATAACAAACTGGTTTTATATGCTTACTCTTTTGTACAATAAGTATATTTGTTTTATGGTACTTACTTTGCTTTTGTGTTGTAGCTGTTATTTTTCTATTTGTCTTCTCTAGTAGGTAGAAATTCAGTAAGATAGGAAGAAGGGTTAGGGCTGGAGACTCTCTCTCTACCCACACCATTCATAGCAAAGCAGTCTGAAAGAACTTTCAATTGACTGAAGTTCATCAAGTTAACACATAGAAGAAGCCTGAAGTGACATTTCCCTTGAGCCACCTACAAAAGTGAGAATAAGCAAAAAAGAAGATGACAAGTGTTTTCTTTCTGTCTCTACTGAACCCTGGCAAAAAAAAAAAAAAAAAGTCTTTACCTAGTAATAAAGACCAGAGTGAGAGAAAACATAAGCCCAGGGTTTCATGTTATCTGTTTCATTTAATTAAATCTTACTTATCTTGAGGTACAGCTCATATCCTACATCCTTTATGATATGTCTAATGATTACCCTAGCCATCAATTATCTGTAACTCTAATAATACTTCTTATTTAGAAAACAAATAATAGTTTTAAACACATATCTTAGGTTAGTATATCGTATATATATATAAAAACTAAATGTTAGAAGTTCCAAAAAATAACAATTATTAATTAATATTCATTTATTTCAGTCTTCCCTATTTTGCAGTTTTGAAAGTTCCTTTAAGTAAAGGGTAATGTTGTATATATCTGTTCAGCTTTTATGTCTACTAGGGCTTCTCTCATTGTGATTAGCACATTATTGAAAGGCCATATAAACTTTATGATTTAGAAAGAATACAAGGTATGGAAATATGTGATGACATTAATTATTCATTCAACAGATATTGAGTATCTACTTTATGCAAGGCACTGTGCTACCACTGGGAATAAAACAATATATGAAAATGGAATAATTACTTTTAAATTTTATGTAATTCACATCTTCAGAGTAAACTTATAAAAAACTTTGAATCTTTTTGCTTAAACCCTAAATTGCCAAGTTAATTTAAAAATATATGTTAGGGGCAATATGGTAAAATGATAGAGAATATGGGTTTTGTAGTTAGATAAACATTGGCTTTGAATTGTGTGACCTGAGCACGTATATTAGTTTCCGTAGATCTATTTCACCATGTGCAAATTGGAAAAAATCATACCTGCTTTGTAAAATTAATAGAGTTAATATCAGTACTTTGCCAAGGGGTCTGGCACATAGTAAGCCCTCAGCTGGTAGCTCTTAGTGTAAATTGTTATTTAAATTGGTGACTTTAAGTGGAAGTAAGCCTCTACCTTTCCAGAAATTATCTTCCAATAACCTTGCTTTTACTTCTATATAAATAATTTTTCAAAGGATCATATAGGATACAGGGAGGACATAGAATTTACAACAAAAAGTTCTAGGCTATAATGATATTATGAAATGTACTTAACTTTTCTTTATCTCAGGAGATGAGTTTTTATAGTCTTCTATAAGTCTATAGAGGATTGAAGCCAAAGATAGTATGATCTGGGTTAGAAAAATTATGTATGTTTCTTAACTATTGTTGCTATAATAATTTTATCTCAGAATATTTTTCCTTTGGAATATAGAATGCTATAACATATCAACGTTTTTCACCCTCTACTTGTTTTTAATTGCTATTTCATTAGGCTATCCATTCAATTGATTGGCATCATGAGGGCAAACAATTCATGTGCAGCCATTCAGACGGTAGCTTGACCTTATGGAACCTGAAAAGCCCAAGTCGTCCTTTCCAGACCACAATTCCACATGGTAAGGTATATGCTTTCAAAAGAAATAAACTCTGAAGATACAGTGCCTTGACTTGACGTACAACAGGTGGTATCAGTGTGTCTGGAAGAAAGTGATAGGATGTAACTTCTGATTCTAAATACCTCTTTATATCTCCTTCAGATTCCCACATTATACCCTAAACTTTCTGTACTTCCCCTCTCCCTGTTTATCCACTTTCCTACTTTGTGATACTTATATATAGACCTTTCCAACCACAAATTGGATAATGGATGATTGATGTATCTGAAGCAGTCTTCAGGGTTAAGAAGGTAGTGAGAATGACATTATATAGATCTGACTTTCAGACCTAATTCCTATACTGTTTTGGCATTTTCTAGATTTTCTCATTTATTTCCATTTCTACTATTTGATTCCACCAAATATGAGAACTATGGTTTTTACTGTGTTTTGTATTTCTTATTATCTTCCTTATCAAAAGGAAGTATTTAAGGTTTATGTTCTACCTGTCTACCTAACTGAAAAGAATAAAAAGTTCAAATGAATGAGTATTTTTTATTCAGATGATCATATTATTTCTGAGAATATTAGTGGTAATCTGGGTTCCATATTTTCCTCTTACCATTGGTTTTTTGTAAGAATAGAGAGGTCAAAACCTAGCAGTTAATCAAACACATTCTATTTTATAGTTTCTGAGCACTTATTATAGTATCACATTTATAAAATTTAGTATAATGTTTTTTATAATTGGTGACCCATAAATCACAAGATGAAATTATTCCATCTTGTGTTGGTCTGTCCTTTTTTGTACCATGCCCTTTTTTGTTGCATGCTCCACCTTCAAATGTTTAAATTATTACAACATTTAACCTAGCAGCTTTAAAGATTACTTTGCTTTTACGCACTTAGTTTGAGATGCTTCATTTAAAGATTGCCATTATGGAAAACTTGGATAGGTGTTTGCTATACATTCCACTCAGATAGAATTATTTGTTTCTATGATGAGTTTAGTTCCTCTCTCCACCCCCTACCCCCATTCCTTATGCCTTTTATTTGTATGTGTATAATATGATTTATTCATAAATTTTCTACTTCTATTCTTCTCAACAATCAACTTCTATACAAGTTCTTTTTGTCTTGGTTGGATATTTGATACTTTCATATGTTTCACCATATCCATATTTATCAGTTTGGGTTGTTTTCTATACACTTGACCCTTGAACTGTGTGGGGAATGGGGCACTGATCCTCATGCAGTTGAAAATCCACATATAACTTTTGACTCCTCCAGGGCCAACAGCCTACTGTTCACTAGAAGCCTTACTGATAAACATAGTCAATTAACACATATTTCGTATGTTATGTGTCATATACTGTATTCTTACAATTAAGCTAGAAAAAAGAAAATATTAAGAAAATAATAGGAAGAAAAAATACATTTACAATACTATATGTATTTAAAAAAATCTATTCCTTTGAATTAATATTTTTGTATTCTTTGGCTAAATACCTAGTAATGTAACAGCTGGATTATAGGGTAGTTCTATTTTTAACTTTTCGGGGAAACTCCATATTGCTTTCCGGAGTAGCTTGTACACTGAAACTAATATTACACTGTATGCTAACTAACTAGAATTTGAATAAAAACTTTAAAAACTACATATAAGTGGACCCACACAGTTCAAACCCGTGCTGTTCAAGGGTCAACTGTTGAAAGAGATGAAATTCTGTTCACAGGTTATTGAAAACATCAGCATCTGTGTCTCATAATATAATAGATTAAATTCCTGCTGCCCCACCATGATTTGAAGCAAATATCAGTGATTTTGACATATTCTTCAGGTTCATTCTGTTACATTTCATTTCAGCTATTTTTATATTAGAAAATAAAAATTTCTCTAAGTAGTACTTTAGCTGTATCCTCTAAGTTTTGATATTAATTTTATTAAAAATGTGTAATATTCATTAATATTCAGTTTGAGGTATTTTCTAATTTCTATTATAATTTTCTATTGATCTATGAGTTAGACATTTGTTTTCTAATTTCTAAAAAACATGTTTTGTTATAGATTTTTAAATTAACTGTAGTCAGAGAACATGGCATGATACTAGTTCTACAAAATTTACTGTGATTTGCTTTAAATTAGACATACACAATTAATTGCCATGAATTTCCAATTATGCTTGAGAAGAATGTACATTTCCTGTTACACAAAGGTCAAACTTGAAATTGTGTTTTCTTTGTACTATAAATCTTTCCTTAGTTTTTTTTTTAAGATAGCTGCTATTTTTTTTATTTAAATTCAGTTAGCCAAGGTATAAGTACATCATTAGTTTTTGATATAATGTTCAATGATTCATTAGTTCATTCTAACACCCCGTGTTCATCATATCACATGCCCTCTTTAATGCCCATCACCCAGTTACCCCTTCCCCCACTTATCTCCCTTTCTGCAATCCTCAGTTTGTTTCCCAGAGTCAAGATCTCTTATGGTTCATCTTCCTCTCTGATTTTTTATAGTTTGATTTTTTAATTTTGAGAGAGATAAATTAAAATCTCTATTACTATGGATTTTTCCCTGTAATTTTGTTCATTTCTGCTTTATATACTTTTTAAATCAAGTAGGTCAAGGTGGTTGATAGCATTAATCAAATCCTTGGATTTTACTGATATTTGACTAGTGCTATCAATTTCTGAAAGTGGTATTAAAATTTCCTAACAATTATAGAATTATCTACTTTTCACTTTATTTCTGTCTTTTTGTTTCGAGGCTTAATTGTTAGGCATCCATTAGGTTTTCCATAGAGGGCATATAGTCAGGTCTTTTTTATTCAGTTTTATAACATTTAGTTGGAGTGTTCAGTCTATTAATATTAAATGTAATTACTGATGGAAATGGATTTAAGTATACCAAGTTACTGTTTGTTTTCTGTTGGTCCAGTCTTTTTTTGTTGTTGTTCCCTTTTTCTCCCCTTTTTGCCTTCTGGATTATTTGAAAGTTCTTATTAGAATTCCATTTTAATTTACGTGTAGGCATTTTATCCTCAGACCTTTTATTTTGGTCAGTTACTCTAGGGATTATAGTATACTTCCCTAACTTTTCAGTCTATTAGAGTTAACATTGTAGCACTTCACAAAAAAATGTAGAAGCTTCATAATCCTATATATTTATTTACTTTTGCAGTAGTTATATGTATTACTTCTAAATACATTGTTATCATTTTTGCTTTAAGTAGTCTTAAGTATTTTTTAATTAGAAGGAAGATATTCCTTTGTATTTTATAATTTCTCTTAATATAATTTTATATTTATGAATTTTTATGATTTTATTTATTCTTGAAGATACAGGAATATCATTTAGCATTTCACTTGGCTTTCCTTTATCTAAAAATTCTTTTTTTGGGCGCCTGGGTGGCTCAGTTGGTTAAGCGACTGCCTTCGGCTCAGGTCATGATCCTGGAGTCCCAGGATCGAGTCCCACATCAGGCTCCCTGCTCAGCAGGGAGTCTGCTTCTCCCTCTGACCTTCCCTCTCGCACTATCTCTCAAATAAATAAATAAAATCTTTAAAAAAAAAAATAAAAAAAATAAAAAATAAATAAAAATTCTTTTTTGCTTTTATTCTTGACATTTTTGCTGGATGTAGATTTCTGAGTTCACAGTTTGTATGTATATATGTTGTTTTTAAGGTGCTACACACTTTAAAAATATTCCACTGTTTTCTGGTTTACATAGTTTCTGAGTGAGAAACTTGTGGTGTTTTGACTTTTGGTTCCCCTGTGTATAATGTGTCATTTTTCCCTGGCTACTTTCAAAATTTTTGTAACTTTTATTTCCAACAATTTGACTATGATATGCCTAGTTTGTTCAAGTTCATTCTATTTAGGGTTCTACTGAGCTACAGAGCTTCTTACATTTAGAGATTTGTATCTTTCATAAAATTGGGGAAAATTTCAGCCTTTTATTTTTTCAAATATATTTTTCTGCTCCAACCTCTCTCTACCTCTCTTTCTGGGACACCATTTACCTGTCTGGTAGAATTTTTGGTATTGTCTCACATGTTTCTGAGCCTTTCTTTTTTTGTTGTTAATCATTTTTTTTCTCTGAATTTCAAATTGGATAATTCACATTGATCTATCATCAATTTAACTGCCTTTTTCCTCTGTAATTTTCATTCAGCTATTAAACCCTTAAGTTATCTTTATTTCAGATATTTATTCCACTTGCTATCTTTTTATATTTTCTATTTTTCTGAGATTTTTCTCTTTTCATTATGAGTCCTTTTCTTTCTTTTCTCTTTCCCTTTCCACATTGAGCTTAGTTATAATTGCTGCTTTAAATCTTTGTTTGATGATACCAAAATCTGCTTCTCCTTGAAGTTGGCCTCTGTTCATAAGAATGTCTCACATTTTCCTGCTTCTTCACATATCTAATAATTGGAAATGTGTATTATGGATATTATGTTGTATATACTATAGAATATACCTTTGTTACCCAATTCCTCCCTAGCCATATGTCTTCTAAACTTGGAAACCATATCTAGATTCATTATCTTTCTACAAATCAATATTTTCTATACTACAAAAGTAGGCTTTGTCTGAAACTCAGATTATTGAACAGTAGTGGGAAAAGAGGGAGGGTGACCACAGACGAGTTACTTTAGTACCTATTTCACTTGAGATTAGCACTGTGGTGACATTGCCCTTGTTGTAGCTGGTTTTCACTAGTATTATAGACATTATTTTTCTTACACAGTAAATTTTAATGGTTTCAAATACTTATTCTTCAATTATAATACCTTCAGCTAAACACATACATACACACACACATGCAGTCTACACACATGATCTTAAACCAAATCCCATGTAATACTTAACAGTGACGTTGTTGAGAGACAGGACAGAGATGTCAACAATTATTACTGTTATTTAACCTTTTCCTGAAAATATTATCCAATATATTTGGACTTGAAAAGGAAATATGATATTTAAAAGTTTAGAGTTCAAAATTATAATTACTTCT